TAGCCAGGCGCGGTGGCGGGCGCCTGTACTCCCAGCTACTCGGGAGGCTGAGGCAGGAGAATGGTGTGAACCCAGAAGATGGAGCTGGCAGTGAGCCGAGATCGCGCCACTGCACTCCAGCCTGGACTACAGAGCAAGACTCCGTGTCAAAAAAAGAGATCATGGCTGTTAGACACAGAAGACAAACCATCTAAAACAGATACTGATAGTAGTAACCAAAAAAAAAAAAAAAACATCCAAAATGAGCAGCCCAGAAACAGCTGAAGAGACTGAAAAAGATGAAGGTTTTGGTGAACATTCACCATCTCCCATGTTTTGATCCTTTTAACCTTAAAAGGAGATTTTTTAATTTGGCTCATGGGTAAAGCCAAACATTTTTATTGTTTTTACTAGGTTGAGCTACTTGCTTACCTAGTAAAGGTAAGTTCATTTGTTTTTACTATGTTCACCTGTTTGCAGTAATCCACAGATAAGTCTTAGTGCATTTATTTTACAAAGTACTTTTTCGAACATCAGATGCTTTTATTTCCAAACCTTTTTTCACCTTTCAATAAGTTGTTGAGGGGAAGGCTTACACAGACACGTTCTTTAGAATTGGAAAACTGAGGCCAGGCACAGTGGCTCACAGCTATAATCCCAGCACTTCGGGAAGACAAGGCAGGAGGACTGATTGAGGTCAGGATTTAGAGACCAGCCTGGGCAACACAGAACCATCTCATTAAAAAAGAAAAGTATCAGAAAAGCAAGAATAGCCTCATTTTCACAATGTGGGAAGAAATTTATATGAAAATTTATCTGAGTCATTAAAATTCTCCTTAAGTGATAATTTTTTAGAAGTACACTATGGCTAGAGTTGCCAGATATAATGCTGTATATCACGCAATAAATTTGCAAAACATGATCTAAAATTTAAATTTGTCCTACATTTGTACTTGCTAAATCTGGCAGCCTTAATTATTATGCAACTATAACCTAACACAAACAGTAATGTCTCCCTTACTTTAGAGTCCTTTGCCCGAAATTTAGCAAATCCATAATTTTGAGTACAGTACAAGCCTGGTAATCCAGTGTGTTTGGGACAGGTCAGTGGAACTCAGAACTGATACATATATACATACATGTTTATCACCTTCAGTGTCTATTAGATATAAATCATCTTTTTATGTAAAAGACACTACTGGTTTGAGGATAGACTTGTCTAGGAATATTTTGTCCTCTTGTTGACAGCACCACTATACATCCCAATGTAACATTTCTACAAAGGGAGGATCTCTTAACCAGGCATACTTACATTTGCTAGTTAGAAAATCATTCTGAGCAGTTTTAACTCCCTTCAATTGAATGGTGTATTACATTATACGAGCTATCTGGGGACCAGATATAATGACAGTCATACAGAACCACTTTTATTCAACATATGTAAAATGTGATAACATTTTAAATAAGCGATTTGCTTAATGAACCTTGATTGATATGAAGGGGAAGTGTCATTCTTTACGTCACTCCTGAAACACTTTTCTATCCAAAGGTTGGTTTGAGTCAGTATTGGCATCATACAAGCACTTACTATAAAAAAAGTTTATTAGTGGCAATGTGATAGAATTTATTCCCGATATCTGATGTTATAAACGTTAGGGTCCCTGAAATATGCAGGATCCTTGTATGTAACTGGCATAAACCCCGTAAAGAGATAATTAAAGTTCTTGACAAAGCATAATAAGCACAATTTCAGCTAGCTCAATTCAGTTGTTGAGGTACTCTTACCCATTATTTGAGCTCTCTTAATTACTTTTGTGATTTCTTTGTTTCTTCCCACAAAGACCTGTAAAATAAAAAGCTTCCTTATTCATAAAAAAGTCAATAAAGTTAAAAAAAGTTTCTCAAACTGAAACATTATTTCCATATCTCTTGACCTTTTAGTACACATTTTTGTATATTCAGTTTTACTAAAGTCAAACCTGTTCCAAGTAATGTGGTGTTATATGCGATAGGCTTCATTTAGGGTGGGGTGGCTAGGTTGCAATGCTTTTAAATCAAGGCTCCACCTCAGGAACCTAGGAATGTTAGGTGGGAGATTAGGAAGTCCATGGCTTGCCAAGAACTTCAGCTATTCCATAAACAATCTGATTACATATCCTGACTCTTGCACGCTAAACAGGTTATCCAAGTCTTAAACTTGATGCTTCTTTGCAGTATTGAGCCACCCTTTCCATGGACACAATCATGCATTTGTACATTTAAATACCATTTTCTATGAACAGATCAGTATGCCAAAAACCACTGCAAAGTCTCCTACACACACCTTGCGTTGACTTTCTGTACATTTCTAGTATTAAAGAATGGTGTAGGCAAAAAAAAAAACCATACATGTGTAAGAAAAAAAAGACATGCCAGGCGCGGTGGCTCACACCTGTAATCCCCACATTTTGGGAGGCCGAGGTGGGTGTATCACGAGGTCAGAGGATTGGGACCGTCCTGGCTAACACAGGGAAACCCATCTCTACTAAAAATACAAAAATATTAGCCAGGCATGGTGGTGGGCGCCTGTAGTCCCAGCTACTCGGGAGGCAGGAGAATGGCGTGAACCTGGGGGGCAGAGCTTGCAGTAAGCTGAGATCACGCCACTGCACTCCAGCCTGGGCGACAAAGTGAGACTCCGTCTCAAAAAAAAGACACGCATAAAATGGTTTAATTTTAGGGAAGTAGATTTACATTTTATCTGAAAAGAATATCAGTATATAATAGGCCTTTGAAAGATGCATAGTTCTACGAAAGTGTTGCCTAAGAATAGTATGTCAGTCGACAAATTTTTTCCATAAAGAAACTGATTTTGCTAGACTAATCACCAATTAACATCCTCTTGCACGGAAAAAATATGCTTGGTGACATGTTTAAATCACGCTTAAGAGTACTGAAGAGGAATGATCTTCCAATCAAATAGCTATTTGATTTAGTAATAACAACTAAAAGATGGGAATCCTTTTCTTCTTGGCACACTTATTTTAAGCTCCAAGGTAATTCAATAGATTCAACATTTAACACGTGTATTCAACATTACACAATTTTTTTCTGGAGTGAAATGGCTCTGAATGCCTTACAGAATTTGCCCTGCTCTCCTTAACTCTCTTACTTGATCTATTAATACTTCTTTCTTCTTTTCCCCTTGCTCCTTCTGTGCCAGACCCACACACGTCTGCTGTAACTGAACATGCCAGGCACATTCTCCCTTTTAAGCCTTTTAACAGCTGCTGTCTCTGCCTAGAATACTCTTTCTTGGGCACACACAAAACTAGCTTCCTGGCCTCCCTCAAACTTCTGCTCAAACTTCACCTCCTTAATCATGTCTATCTGTCCCTCTTATTTAAAACTGTGACTCTACCACTTCTGATCTCCACATTTGATGCTCCTGGCCCCCCCTTTTTCTCCACAGCATTTATCACTAACATCCCAAGTAATTTTCTTACCTATTATGTTTATTGCCCATTTCTCACCTAGAATATAAGCCTCAGGGTGGAAGAACTTGGTCTTTTTGTTGTTCACTGCTTATCCCCAGAGTCAGGAGACATGCTTGGCACATTGTAAGTCCGCAGTAAATATTTTTTGAATTAATAACGAATATTTCTACCATCTGCTAGCTTACTGTTCATGCAGGAACTCAAGTGTGTTTTAAGCATGTGGTATGTTTCAAAAGTTAAACTTCCTCCTTAAGGAGAACATTGTCATCTACTCCCCCTTTAAAAAAAAAATAGGAAAAAAAGGAAAACAAAACATCACCTTCTCATTTCCCCACCTCCAACAAAAAGATTGTTGAGTTTTCTAAAGAAATAATACAAATGGATAATGGAGATTTCGGTAGCGTGCTGAGCTTCATCAAAGCACTAAAACAATGGTGCTTGAGACTTCAGAGGCTCAACCAGGAAGTGCAACCCAGAAGGCAGGATTTCCTGCAGGACTTTGAAATCCAACCCGGTCACCTACCCTCGCGACTGCGTCCACGGACGGCACGAAAGCCAAGCGAGTCTCCCTGCCGAGCTACTCGCTTCGGCCTCCTCCCAGACTGAGCTTTGCCCCGCCCACCTGAGTCCTACGCCAGTTAGGAGGAAACGCAGCCGCTTAATGAACGGCAGAGTTTGGCTGGGAGATAAGGCTCGCGGGTCCCACCTGGCCTCCTCCCCAAGTCTAAGCGCGCTTTTCACCGAGGCCTCAATTCTGGGATTTGGCAGCTCTGCTGTGAAAGCCCAAGTGGGTAACCAACAGCCTGGAGGACCCGAGTGGATTCGTTTCTCTCTTCCTCCTCGGCCACTCAACTGCTTCTTGTCCCTGACCCCGCGGTGGGGATGAATAACTCATTTCTGGCCCGCTTTCCTCAGAGGGCAAAGATGGGTCAGGGTGGGATGTTATATTGGTGTTGAGACTCTTTGGATCCGTTTGGTGGGTACCGAGGACACTTGAATACCCGAGACAGGTTGCACCCGCCTGCCGCAGGCGCCCCGGCGAAGCTGCGCGGGTGAAGCTCCCGGCCCCACCCACGGGGCGGGGCTCCGGCTCGGTCCGACCAGTGCCCGCGGTGGGGGAGGGCGATGGATCAGGCCACGCGCCAGGGGCGAGCGCGACTCTTCTTCTGCTGCTCCCTTCCCAGCCTGGAAGGCGCCCTCTCTCTCTACGCCACCCTTTTCACGGCACTGAAAAGCTCCGTCCTCTCCTTCCAGTCCCGCCTCCTCCGAGTGCTCCCCCACTGCCTGGGATGGTGCGGTCCCAGGTCGCGGGTCACGCGGCGGAGGGGGGCGTGGCCTGCCCCCGGCCCAGGCGGCTCTTCGCTTTGCTTCTGCTGGCGTCCGAGGAGTGGCGTTGGTCCCCGGAGCGATGCTGGGCCGGAGTCGCCTCGCCTTAGTCCTCCTGGCTGCCGCCGTCAGCTGTGCTGTCGCGCAGCACGCGCCGCCGGTGAGTGAGCTTGAGACGAGGCGCGGAGAGGGGCGTGCAGGTGCGGGCGCGGATGGAGGCGCAGGTGTGGCGGGGCGGGCGGGGACGACGAACACCTGGTGCTGGGCAGCGTCTTTTCGGGGGTCTGTGGTTTCGTGCACAGGGATATTGGTGCAAAGCGGGCTGGTGAACCCCGTCCTCGGTTGATTCGGTGCTACCTGGATGGAACTAGAACACCTTTAAAGGAAATCCTAATCTCTGCAGGATACCTGGAAGTGATTCGCATATTCGCAAATTTGAGTGAGTGTACTTGAATAACCAGTTCCAGGCCCTTGCATTTTGAACTGTTTAAATAAAATGTTCCGGTAGACCTGTGTGGGTTAATCAAGGACAGACTGCCTGATGGCCAGGTGCTTTCTTCCGAAGAAGTTCAGGAGCTCAGCTCAGGATACTGCAGGGCCCTGGGAAACGCTGAGTGGTCCCAAGCCTAGGCGGTGCTAGCAGCCCAGGGCATGCCCCAGAGGGCCCCCTGTGGCCTTTTGCACCCAAGTCATGGGATCGCCTGTCCCGTGGCTCTTTCCCAAGAGCAAGTCACAGGGCCACGGATTTCCTAACTGCAAGAGACAGTGAGGGACTAGCGTGACCCTTTTATTTTACAGAAGAGGAAGTAGACCTAGAGTGAGAAAATCTTTAGCCAGAGGTTACACTATTGTTTACTGAACATGCCTAACGCCCGAGTACTCTTGACGCTAGTACTCTTTCATAATTCATTTCTTTATAAAGCAGTCAGACTGCGTTTGTCTTTGCCAACAGACCGGATAAGTAGGAACCTGGCGCATCTGGCCTGAGGCTGAATATGAGATGGTCTTGAATAGCTTAGGTAGGTTATTGAAAGTGGAGGCAAGATGTACTTTCTCTTATACCTGTAAGGAGAAATTCTTTAAAATCATGTTGGGATATGACTTAGCCATTAAAACTGATATAATGTTTAGCAGATAAAAGTAGAATCCAGAATAGTATATACAGTTTTTCTTGTAATAGAAAAATGCACAGAACATATATGCGGACTCGATTGAAAGGCCGTAAAATAAAATTGCTCTACCGTGGGTAGGGAATTAATTTGCTTGAGGGTAGTTGGTATTACCGGAATTTTGAAAGAGTTTGATACTTTGCTACTGTCAGGGCCCTTCATTCAAAGACCACCAGGAACACACTATGAGTTGAACAAATTGGGTTTAGTGTTCTTTGAGGCAAATAAGAACACACACCATGAGCGACGGTGGGTTATAGAAAAAAACCCATTACAGAATTTGAACTTTGGTTGCATGATTTGGGGTGAGACTAAGGAACCGGGCTTCGCTGTAGATAGAATGCTCTTAAACGAGTTGATGGGTGCAGCACACCAACATGGCACATGTATACATATGTAACAAACCTGCACGTTGTGCACATGTATCCTAGAACTTAAAGTATAATTTAAAAAAAAAGAAAAGAAAAGAAAGGGGCAATTCTATGACTAAGGAAGCAACAGCCATTCTACTTAGCAAGAGAAGGGGATGCTTGGTGTTTTGTGCGTTGCAGGTCACCTTGTTTTTGTCTGTGCTTAGACAAAATCCTCAAGTGGCATTGCTTTGTCTTTCTTTGTCACGTCTCAGAATAATCTTATCCGTGGTAGCTATCTGTGAATAGATTGTTTATGTCCAGGAGGAAAACAGAGCTTACCTGGCTGTGAGTGTCAGATGGGCTTGTAATAATATTGAGATATAGCTGTGGAACTCAGAGCAGTTTCAGGTGTTGGAGGCTGTTTTTTCTTCTTTCTCAATAGCTTTATTTATTCTAGCAAAAGTATTTTGATAGCTATTTTCAGAAGAAGAATCAACAACCTCTCAATGGATGTAATAGTTCTTACCTAGAACAGTGATTATCAAAGTCTAGTCTGGCCACTGGTGTCAGTTTGGGAAGCTGTTTTCAATGAAATTACAAAAGTAAGAATGCAAAACTAAAATTATTAATTTAGAATGTTAATCTTTATTCTGATTGTATGGACTTCCAGTTTTCATTGTTACTAACATGTTCTTAAAAATCAGCTAACGGCAGAGGTAGATGTTGTGGGCATGGAATTTGTTTTGTTTTAACATCTCCATTTGACAGAATAAAAATTTGGACCCTCCTGTGCCAAGGCCTCTTTAATTTTTTTTACTGGCCTGGAAAATCCTGGGATCCATGGGCCAAAGGACCTTTAGAACCTTAGAGAAGTTCCGTGACTTCATTCTCTGAGAAGAACAAGCAGTTTTTCGGTTGGAGTCGTTATATGATAAACTATCGCCTCGTGGTAACAAAAAATATTTCAAAACTACTTTTGATAAATATGAATAATGAGAACTGGCTTTAAATTGGAAACAAGTCATTTGATTTGGAACGTCTGTAGGGACTTTTTGTTTGTTTTTGAGACTTTTCACAATATTCATATGTTAAGGTCCTCCTGAGTTTTTCTTCATTATTGAATTTTTTAGGAGCCTATTAAGAGATGATGGTGAAGACAGTGGCACAAGAACTGTCTGGAGAGACAGCACCAGATGGCATCATCCAGGGTTCTGTAGACTCTTAGTAAGGATTCAGAAATTTATTCTAAAAAATGGGAGAATCTGGAACCAGCCAATGGGAGGCCATTAAATGGTTTTAGCCAAGATAACATTTTCACTTTAAAAAAGATGGGCAGCAAGGGTAGATGTGAGGAGACTGGTCCAGAAAAGAAACAGGGTGCATTGAAGGATGGTGGCACCAGGGGTGAGGGAGAGAAGTAGATGTTCTAGAAAAAAATCAGGAGGGCAAATGAGCAGAAGGAAGGATTGGGTGAGGATGAGGGAGTGAGGTGTCAGCGTGACCTGCACATTACCGAAGTGCTTCACTGGGCGAATGGTGGCATCAGTGCCAGGGAACATGGGGAGGGGAAAACTTGGGGGCTAAAGAATGGGGATCGTTTTCATTTGGGGTATGTGTTAAATTTCAGGTGGCAGAGAAACATTCAGCAGGCCACTCGTACTGGCCCTCAGAAGAGAGACACTGAGAGTCATTGGCATAATGATATTATTTGAAGCCCTTGGAGCAGATGAACTCACCTAGAAAGAGGACTAGAGAAAGAGAAGAAAAGAGAACTAGGCAAAGGCTAAGTAACTTGCACATGTATGTGTCAGGAAGAGGAGAAATTGCCAAAGTTAAAACAGGGCAGGCTGGGCACGGTGGCTCACGCCTGTAATCCCAGCACTTTGGGAGGCCAAGGCGGGTGGATCACCTGAGGTCAGGAGTTTGAGACTAGCCTGCCCAACATGGGGAAACCCCATCTCTACTAAAAATACAAAAATTAGCTGGGCATAGTGGCTCAGGCCTGTAGTCCCAGCTACTCAGGAGGCTGAGGCGGGAGAATTGCTTGAACCTGGAAGGCAGAGGTTGCAGTGAGCCAAGCCTGGGCAATGAGGGAAACTTCCTCACACACACACACACACACACACACAGCAAAGCAAAACAAAACAGAAGAGTAAGTGGGACAGGAAGTTCATGGAAGAGACTAGGATGGGTTAACTATGTTGAATATTATTGAGATGTCAACAGTATTATGATACTAGGCAACTGGAGGTCATTGGTCACCTCGGCCAGAGCAGTGTTGGGGGCAGAAAATAGCTTGCAGTAGGCTGAGGGTGATCGGCAGGAAAGGAACTAGAAGGGAGAGATGGCTGCTCTCAGTAATAAGTCTGACCCACTTCTTTTTATTTTTATTTTTTATTTTTTATTTATTTATTTATTTATTTATTTATTTATTTATTTATTTTGAGACGGAGTCTTGCTCTGTCACCCAGGCTGGAGTGCAGTGGCGGGATCTCAGCTCAATGCAAGCTCCGCCTCCTGGGTTCACGCTCATTCGCCTGCCTCAGGGCCTCGAGTAGCAGGACTACAGGCGTCGCCACCACGCCCGCTAGGTGTTTTGTTTTTTTTTTAGTAGGAGACCGGGTTTCACCAGTTGTTAGCCGAGATGGTCTCGAGTTCTCCTGCTCGTGATCCGCCGTCCTCGCCGCCCAAAGTGGCTGGATACAGTCTCTGAGGCCACCGCGCCCGGCCCTGACCCACTTCGTTAAGATGTGTGAAGATGCAACAGTAATGGACGCTGTAGTAAGAATTGCCAAAGTAACACTTAGTTTTTATGCATCAAAGTTCTCATAATGAGTAACAGGCATATGTCAACACTTGTGCATTGGCTATTGAATCAGCTTTAGCAATGATTTTCACACCGTTGCCCAGAAATCTCATAGACCGCATCTGGCGAGGAATTATGGTTCATCTGCTTTTCCCTAGGTTCTCTCCCAAGAAGGAACACACAGGGTGTAATCGCATTCACTTTATTCACACAAATATCTGACGCCAACTATGTGCCTGATCCTACATGCTGGGAATGCGTCCGCCAATGAGATTAGATGAGGTCCTTCCTCTCATGGAGGGTTTATTCACATTCCTTGCTTAAATATCAGTAGCGTAATAGATCGCCCATTGCATTCCAAAATAGCCCGAAGACAAGTGGAAAACATTGACAAGCTCGTGGGACTTGTTTACACATAAGAAACCTGTCCTCTGCATTCAGTGCCTTATCGCTGAGTTGGTACCATAAGGGGACATTATAGGAAAAACTTATCTAGAAAATAGTTGTTGAGATTCAGGAATTGAATGAAAAAAGGTTGTCTTGCGAGAGTCGTTGCTTCTCTGAGGGTATGAAAACTGACAGAGCGTATATAATTTTAGAGTATCTTTCATTGTCTCTTTCTGAGTATTTGAATAAGCAAGCACACAAGGGCTGTTCTGGACTTTTAACAGTTCATTGTTAGACGCACTACATTTCATTGACGTTCTAATTCTGTAGGGCTCAAATATTTAAGGAGCTGTTACCAAGTTATGTCATTTTTTAAGGGGTCTGGAGCATTCATTGAGACCTTAATGAAATACTATTGTCTTTATATTTGTTGGTTTTTTAGACAGCGTTACGTTCAGTGGCTCTGTAATGTTTCTCTTAATGAATGGGGAGGACAAAGAGGCTTAAGTTTCTTAAATAACCAGAAAAATTAGAGAATTGCTGACCCAAGCAGTCTTTTAAAGAACACTTTCCAGAGGTTTTCTTTTTTTCTTTTTTTTTTTTTTTTTTTTTTGAGGACGAGTCTCGCTGTGTCACCCAGGCTGGAAGTGTGGTGGTGCTATCTTGTCTCAGCGCAACCTCCACCTTCCTGGTTCAAGGGATTCTCCTACCTCAGCCTCCCGAGTACCTAGGATTACAGGCACATGCCACCACACCCTGCTAATTTTTGCATTTTTAGTAGTGACAAGGTTGCGCCATGTTGGCCAGGCTGGCCTTGAACTCCTGACCTCAGGTGATCCACCCACCTCAGCCTCCCAAAGTGCTGGAATTACAGGCATGAGCCACCGCGCCTGGCCCAGAGAGCTTCACATGCATGGAAACATCAGATTTTTACCACTTCTCTCCACTCTGAGGAGACAACTAGGGGGCAGGGAGAAAGGTAGGGAAGGGGAGGGAGAGAGAGGGAAAGAGAAAGAGAGGGACTAGGGGGAGAGGGTTAGAGAGAATTAATTCTAAGTTGGATTTTGTTTCCTGTGATAGGGTGTAACATAGTATACCATCCCGACCACATAATCTCTGTTCATGTCATCTGTTTCTAATATTTATGTATCATCTATTTAAATTTCTACTTACCTTAATAGCGTTGTCTGTTATCAAAAGTGTGTATAAAGTTGGGGATAGTAAGAAACTTTAAATAACATTAAATAAGTTCATTATAATTCTGTTCTAGGGCTACTCATGGGTTTTGAAGCTGTGTCTCCCTATAGAATTCTTTTTTGAGGGTGAAGAAGTAGCTCTTTTTTCCACCCTACCCCTAAAACTAACCTTTTTGCATAAATGACTTAGGCATTCATGCTATGTGAGTCCCTGAAATACTGTAGTCTCATAGCTGCTGATGTTCTTATTTTCTCTCACATTTATCCCATTTTCTTGCCATCAGATTCTATGCCGATTTCATGTTTGTTTATTGCAACCAAGAGTCGTTATCAACCTCAGACTCCCACATATATTGTTGCTAGCTTGCTCTTTAGCTGTTACTTCTGGGGCAGGTCACATTCTCTTCTAATCCTTGACAGAGCATTTTCAACTTCGCTCACAGTTGTCTAGTAAGGAATGTGCCTGTAATGTGATGTTTATTTTGGCTTTGGAACTCAGGGTGTGCAAAATTTAATTATTAGGGAGGGATAGGAGTCATTACGTTTCACTTAATTTGCTGAGTTGATTCTAGTGGTCATCAGAAGCCCTGAACTAAGTGCAGATTATTCTGTTAGGAATTAAATTGAGGCATTGGTTTTATTATCTCTGTGGGAAGCTGTCTGATAGAGCAGGGGAAGCCATTGACTCTAATTCTGTCACCAGCTGTGTAACTTTCTGCATGTCACTAATGGAGCAGGGTCTTATGTCCACAATGTGATCATAAAATTAAGCACTTGGGTTAAGTACGCATCACAGTATTCCCAACTCATAGGAAAACAATGGTCAGATACACGAGAAAATACAGAGTGGAGTATCTCATCACAACAGAATTTATTTACAAATTTTACAAAGTAAAATTAAGCTGCAACCCAAATAAGTCTCTAAGTAGCTCATTTATTAGCAAAATAAGGAAAGCCATTTACCAATGGTGGGTTAAGTAAATTGTATTCGATTGTAGCAGCAGAAGTATTGTGTCCAGGGAAAGTGAAATTATTTTACATATCATTAAATGAGAACCCTTGTCCTGGACTTCGGGAGCAACATCAATATCAATTAAAGAACAAAGCATGTGATTTTGAATGATTTTTCTTGACTCTTAACGTACCGATAACTGATCAGTTGTTGATATTTATTAGATGATCAGTGCCAAGTTTGAAGTGACTGAAGAGTTAGCCTCTGAATCATCTGTGTAAAACAACTATAGGCGAGGATGTTTTCAAAGAAGTTGAGAAAATAGCGATTCAGTATAACCTGAAATGGAATCTGCCAAGATATATACAAATTGACGGTGGTAATATTTGTGAGTAGAAAATGCTGAGTTGAGTAAATTCACAAAACTTGGGAACATGCAAGGTGTTTAAAGCTTATGGTTATTTATTACAGGATTCCTTTTCAGGTACTTTATGGAAAGTATTGGAATCTCACATGTGTTATTGAACCAGCAGTGTAAACCATGAGCTTCATTTGCTCTTGTGGATATAACCATCATCATTTCTGTGAATTTTTGTCAGAAATAGAGGCCGGATATCCTGATGTCTCTAGTGACAGAGCCATTAGATGGCTTGGTAGCTATGAAGTTTTGCAGTCTTCGAGTTCACAGTTGAGACTGAAGTTTTTCTAAACAAAAACTGCCCGAGCCACTATTATTGAACATGAATGGCTTGGGAAATTAGCTTTTGCTACAGACTTGATATTGTTTCTTAATAAATTCAACCCAAAATTATAAAACAAAACCACACATATATGAGAAACTTATACTGTGGTGAGGCAAATTTGACAGCTAATGTTTGAATCACAGGTAATGTCAACCTACTCTATATATTCCCATTGTTACCAAAGTTAAAACAAGATGCTAGACCCCCATTCTTACACAGCTTTGCAGCAGATACATTTTCTGAGCTCAAGCTACAATTCCAAGAGTTTTCTTACCTACTCTACTTTATCTTATTTTGGGTTTGTACTTTTTTAAAACAATTATTTTACTTTCACAGTACTGGTTCTCCAGAGGAAGAGAGGTAAATATACTTGATACTTTGAATGAGTAACAAAAGAACCATAAAACTGTGTGGACTCTTTTGGATAAGTTTAGGAGGAGATTCTATTTTGCCACTAAGCTTGGACAACTCTCCCTAAAACAGTCTCATTCATTCATTGTCTCAGGCAGTGACCTCAGTGTTGGGGGCCATCCTCACCTCAAGAAGCACAGAGTCTGGTATTGATGAGGAACACGAACAAATGATTATAATGCAGTGTCATAAATGTGGTGATGTGCATGTGTACAAATGCTGTGAGAGTATAAATGAGGATATGACTATTTTTATATGGAAGATAGATAAAGTTTTCACAAGAAAGAAAATACTTGAACTGAATCTTGGAAGTTAGAACCAGCAGTAAGGAAAAGGCATTCTAGCAAGAGGGAATAGCACAGGCACAGGGTTGGAAGGGTAAGAGATCATAGGAAGTGCTTGCATAAATACTAAGGGGAGTGTCAGAAGATGAGGCTGGGATGGTAAGTTACGGAAAGATGATGAAGGGCCCTGTGCTGTGTGCCCTGAAAATCTGGTTTGGGAGGCAAATCCCAGGACAGGTTGCAATACACATGGCTGGTAAGTTCAGATAACACATCCTATCAGGTCATTTACTTTTAGTGCTAAGTCAGCCTGTCTAACGTAAACATTTTCCATCTGCTTTGTTACATTTGTTTGTTACTCAATATATTTGCAATATTAGAGCCAAATTATAACACTAGCACTTTCGCAAATTGAATTGAAACTGAAAATCCACTTAATGGTGTAGGATTTTACAAGTTTTCTTGGAAGGAAAAGACTTCTTTTAAGAGGCATTGAAGCCGGGCGCAGTGGCTCACACCTGTAATCCCAGCACTTTGGAAGGCTGAGGTGGGCGGATCACGAGGTCAGGAGATCGAGACCATCCTGGCGAACACGGTGAAACCCCATCTCTACTGAAAATACAAAAAAATTAGCTGGGCGTGGTGGCTTAAAATTTCATACTTTTTTGTTGTTTTGTTTTTTGACAGAGTCTCACCCTGTCTCCCAGGCTAGAGTGCAGTGGTGTGATTTCGGCTCACTGCACTCCTGCTTGGGCGACAGAGCGAGACTCCGTCTCAAAAAAAAAAAAAAAAAAAAAAAAAAAAAAAAGAGGCATTGAAATGGTGTAAAAGAGCAAAATCAGACTTGATTTTGTCTTCACAGATTAACTACTTTTGAAATTGCTTATTCCATTAGCAAGCATTTGTTATTTTCTGAAACTTAATTTTCTTTGCTTTTTAGTGGACAGAAGACTGCAGAAAATCAACCTATCCTCCTTCAGGACCAACGTGAGTAAACATCAGATGATGAAAACTCCCTTTGACCTTTGTGAAGTTTTTCCTCTATGTAATAATTGCTCATAAACTAATGGTAGTGAGTAAAATCTTAAGTCATGTTTTCCATTCTGAGACAGAGGTTTGTTTCTCAGGTTTGTGTATTATGCATTTGGCTGAGATCTTGGACAAATATGAAAATATCTTCCGATTCAAATGCCCATTGCTAGCCTATCACAATCAGTGGAAAGAAAAACATTTTCAGCCAGGCGTGGTGGCTCAGGCCCGTAATCACAGCACTTTGGGAGGCTGAGGCGGGTGGATCACGAGGTCAGGAGATCGAGACCATCCTGGCTAACGGTGAAACCCCGTGTCTACTAAAAATAAAAAAATTATCCGGGCGTGGTGACGGGTGCCTGTAGTCCCAGCTACTTGGGAGGCTGAGGCAGGAGAATGGCGTGAACCTGGGAGGTGGAGCTTGCAGTGAGCGGAGATCACACCACTGCACTCCTGCCTGGGTGACAGAGCAAGACTCCATCTCCAAAAAAAGAAAAAAAGGATTTTCAATCTCCACTAAATTCTTCTGTCTACCACGAAGTGTTTTTCTCATCTTTGACAAATATAAGGGCTGTATTTGAAATAACCTGTGATTCTCTGTGGTGCCTGGATTATAAACCACCAAATTATTTTGGATCAAAAAAGCCTAGGACCCCATATGTGATACGTTCTCAAAATAAAGCTTGGCACAACAGAGCTATCGAGGACAGAACAAGGATTGGAACACCTAAGAGGAGGACCAGTGTCATGATTCACTGTGTTTAACATTAATATTTTTACTCTAGATTTTGGTCTTTCCAAATCCTCAGTGTTTAAATGGGCCTGTGAGAAAGCCATAATAACAGCTTGCAGACCCAGAGGGTACAGAACAGAGAAAAGAAGGAACAGTTATAGAGGATGGTGGTCTTACTCTCCTACACTGCCCTCTCGCTGAAAGTAGCCTGCTGGTTGTAGGGGAAAACAGTACCACTCTGTCAGGTGATAGCAAGATGACGTTCTCAGTTTCTGCAACATTCCAAATTATATATGTTGTACTGCTGTTGTCTAAAGGATGTATTCTAAATAGCCTCTGTCCCAGATAGCGTGAAACTGTAATAAACTAAATTATTTTGACTTACTCGCCTTTATGTAGAAAGAGGCCAGTATTTGGCAGGACGTAATTTAGAGGTAACCCGTTTGGATGGTGTTCGGGGCCCGTGTTCATTCCAGCTCTTTCTTCAATGGCCTGCTCTCTGAAAGTCTTCCTTTCTGTCATCACTGGCATCCTTCTGGCCTTCAGTGACATGTTTGCCTTACCAATTGATTGTGTGTCTCAGCTGGTCTCACTGGCCCGATTCATTGAACATTTAATGAGGTGCCTTCCATGTTTAAGGCCGTTTCTACTCTCTTTTAGGTGCACTTTACATGTGTCTGTAAATTGAATGCCCTGTAATTGGAAACCATAAACCTTTGTTGATTGGGCATTTTACTGATTCCTTATTGCCATGTGCGTGTGAGTGTGTGTCTCCATATGCACATACGTACCTACACATATACATACATATATACCCCTGAACACATACACATGTATACGTAGACATAACGTGTGTTTCTTTCCTTGCCTTCATTTTTCTGCTAAGTTACTTTTTACCACACCAGCCTGCTTTCCTACACAAAAAGCCTCAGCTTTGCTCTCATCCTTCTCCTCTCTGAACTCTTATCAATGGATCTTAGATCTAGGAGATAAGTGTCATATTTATATACCTCTGAATGACAAACAGTCGTCCTGTCCTGTGAGATCATCCTTTTCAATTAAGTGCATAGATTTGAGCAGCATCCATGGGCAAATATGAGGAAAGAAAAAGATAACCTGTTTGGCCAGCATGGCTAGTCAAACCAATGCTGGAGATAAAGGAACTGATAGCCAGATCACCCCTGAATCCATCTGAGTCGCATTCAGCATTTCTTTCCCACTGCTCGCTGGGTGGCTAGCACCTGCTTTCTTATTTGTAAATGTGTGTGTTGTGTCACTTGGAGTAGTTTCCATGCGACCCGGGTAGCCATGTGGGTTCAGGCGATGTTACTGATGTTATGAATCGCATGGACATTGCAAACACTAAGTCTCGAAAATGATGAAATGATATTTCTTGTTTGCAGTGAAGTAGGAAAATACACTGTGATAACTACCGTTGATTGAATGCCAGTGCTGCTAAGTGTTTTTTGTTTTGTTTGGGTTTTTTTTGCATTTTTCATGTAGTGTCTTCGCTGCTATTATAAGGTGGATGCTCTTTTATTCTTATGGGGAAATTGAGGCGCACAAGTTAAATACTGAAATGTTTTAGAAAACTGTTTAACGAGAGGTAAAATGTGCGATTGTGACTAAGCTTTAGCTATTAAAATAATTTTGTTTATTAGATTAACCAGTTCTCTCAAATTCTAATTAGCGCAGGTTTGATGGTAGAGAGATCTGTGTAGTCTTATCCCCACTTCATTGTAATCCCTTCATTGTCTGTCCGTTGTGTTGCGTTCATCCCTCTTCATCGCCTCTGGGATGATCCATGAGCCTACCCAAGACTCGGCTGAAAAAGGATCAGGATTTTATGGCAGATACAGAGGCATGATTTGGGATTGGTTGTGTGTTATGCGGTGAGGAGCATCTGATTGGAGTTCATAGGGACGACGTGCATTGCTCCAACAGGCCGCTGAGTTATCTGTGCTACTAAACATAGAAATCTAAGTGCACACTTGAAGGGAGAGGGAAGGCTAGTAACACCTGCCCGTAATATGGATGGGGAACAATAATTACTTACTGAATGTGGGACAAAATTTTACATGCAAAATTATGGTCCATCCGAAATGGAATTAATTTGTCGTGATGAAAAGCTTTTTTTCTGGAATATAAGTATTGTAGTATTTCATGTAGATATCAGCTCCTAGACAATGGGGAACTTGAAAATGCTTTGAGAAGAAGAAAATTCATTCACTGTGATTTTGTTTAAATGTACGTTTCCAAAATTGAGTATGCTTTTCTTTTGTCTAAATCACAACCTGGGTGTCTGCTAGTTAACAGTTTCGTAAAACCTCATACATGTACCAGGGCCCCCAGTTACACAGCACTATTTAGAGAACGAAGTAATTATTTTTGGCAGTGGAAATATAAATAGAACCACAGTTCATGACTTAGGTAATAGCCCATCTCCAACTATGGACATAAATCTAGATAACATTTCTATTTAGGTGACTGGTGTCATTGTGGCACATACCAGAGTCACCCTACCCGTCTCAGGAGCAGATCAGTGGAACAGATGATGGTTATTTTTAGGCATAGGTTTATACTGATTAACCACGAAATGGCACACCCTTAAAAGCTATTTCAGTTTAGTAACAAGGGCCGGAAAATAATATTCCTATAGCAACAAAAATAGTTATAGAATTCATCCACCAGAGATACAGCCCAGCTCCCTTGATAAGTGAGTGGATGTTGCTATATCCTCAGAAATTGCTACTTGTAAATTAAAGAGTAGGAAGTTGGAGAAAGGATATGACAGAGTACGGCTCAGGCTTGGACTTTGTACAGCAAAATGAGAAGAGAAGAGGTATATAATAGGGAAGATGAGGATGGCTGACAGAATCATGAAGGTTCTTGAAGCTGGTCATGGGAAGATAATACATGTTGCTACTCTGGGGCTTAGAAGGTGATGATCTTCCTGAAGCCAACACTGGAGACAATGGTTTGGCAATGGTGTTACACTCACTGAGTGAATTCTGAAACTGGAAATCAATTGGAGAATTGTCTAGAGCCTAGACTAAATCTTTGCAGATATTTAGGAGAAAAAAAATGGGAGGTATTTCCCATCAGTGATAATCAGATTAGAGCTCTTAAGCCATAGTTGATTTTTTCATAGAAAACCAATTCACATGAACCTTCCCTACTAGATCATTCTATTCCAAGATTTCTCTGACCACTTATGATTGTGTTCTCAACCTAGAAGCACTAGGTAGAGAATGAACTCTCTTTCCAAATTTTGGTTTGGGTAACCATGTTGGACAGTGTTGTTAAGACTATGCCTCTCATATATCCGAATAGATGTTATCTAACCCTCTCAAAAAACCCTTTCATCATTTCAAGATGATATACCTCTCATTACAGGTACAGAGGTCCAGCTCCATGGTACACCATAAATCTTGATTTACCACCCTACAAAAGATGGCATGAATTGATGGTTGACAAGGCACCAATGGTATGCTATGATGCTTAAATCTTTTATTTATTTTTTATTTTATTTATTTATTTATTTATTTATTTATTTATTTGAGACAGAGTCTCACTCTGTCACCCAGGCTGGAGTGCAGTGGCACGATCTCAGCTCACCGCAACCTCCGCCTCTTGGGTTCAAGCAAGTCCCCCACCTCAGCTTCCCGAATAGCTGGAATTTACAGGCACCTGCCACCATGCTGGCTAATTTTTGTATTTTTAGTAGAGACAAGATTTTGCCATGTTGTCCAAGCTGATCTCGAACTCCTGACCTCAAGTGATCCTCCCGCCTTGGCCTGCCAAAGTGCTGGGATTATAGGCATGAGCTACCATGCCTGGCCATATTTTTTATTTTATTTATTTATTTTCCCTCCAAGCACTGTGAAGATTGAGTATGAAATCTTTTATTTCTAACTTTATTAAATATTATTGTATTTTTAAAAGAACACTTCATGAAATTACCCACAGAATATGCTTTTGATACCTTTCTGCTATATACAATAAATGACAGTAGAGGAAAAGAAGTCATTCCTCTGTAGCCTTTGTTCTGTTTTGTAAACTTTATCTTGGTTTCTTTCCCTTTATGTCATCTCCCTTCATGTAAATCATTAAGAATTAAATTCACTTTAAAGATAAAATTACTGTATTAATATATTAATTGAGGCCAGGCATGGTGGCTCATGCCTGTAATCAATCCCAGTACTTTGGGAGGCTGAGGAAGGCGGATCACCTGAGGTCAGAAGTTCAAGACCAGCCTGGCCAACATGGTGAAACCCCATCTCTATTAAAAATACAAAAATTAGGCCGGGCGCGGTGGCTCCCGCCTGTAATCCCTGCACTTTGGGAGGCTGAGGTGGGTGGATCACAGGGTCAGGAGTTTGAGACTAGCCTAGCCAAGATGGTGAAACCCCGTCTCTACTAAAAATACAAAAATTAGCCAGGTATGGTGGTGTATGCCTGTAGTCCCAGCTACTTGGGAGGCTGAGGCAAGAGAATCGCTTGAACCCGGGAGGCGGAGGTTGC